TGGGTGGGTACACCGGGGTGGGGACGCATTGGGCTGGCAGGGACCCCCTCTCCGTCATCGCCTTCTCCCTGCTCCCGGCAGCTCGTGCGCATCGCCAAAGTGCTGGGGACGGAAGATCTGTACGACTACATCGACAAGTACAACATCGAGCTGGACCCCCGCTTCAATGACATCATCGGCAGGTGGGGGCACAGCGGGGGCGAGCCATGGGGCTGAGGGCAGTGCCCTTTCTCCCTGAATCCTCCCTCCCCAATTCCTCCTTCTCCAAATTCTCCCTCCCTGAATCCTCCCTCCCCAAATCCTCCCTTCCCCAAATCCTCCCCGAACCCTACTTCCCCAAATCCTCCGTCCCCGAATCCTCCCCCTCCCCGAATCCCCCCCAAATCCTCCTTCTCCAAATGCCCCCTCTCCAAATCCTCCTCCCCAAAATCCTTCTCTCCAAATCCTCCCTCCCCAAAACCTTCCCCCCAAAATCCTCCCTCCCAAAATCCTCACTCCCCAAATCCTCCCTGAATCCTCCCTCCCCAAATCTTCCTCCCCCCAATCATCCCTCTCCCCAGATCCTCCCTCCGCGAATCCTCCGTCCCCAAATCCTCGCTCCCCAAATCCTCCCTCCCCATGGCCTGGCCTTGCTTCTCCTGGAGCGAACTGGCCCAGTACCAGGTGATGCAGCTCTTCTCTTCCTCTTCCTCCTCCTTTTTTCTTCCTCCTCCTCCCCCTCCTCCCCGCCCGGCAGACACTCGCGGAAGCGGTGGGAGCGCTTCGTACACAGCGAGAACCAGCACCTCGTCAGCACCGAAGCCCTCGATTTTTTGGACAAGCTGCTGCGTTATGACCACCAGACACGCCTCACTGCCCGCGATGCCATGGAGCACCCCTATTTCTGTACGTCTGCCCTCGGGGGTCCCGCATGTTCCTCCCAGCCCGCACCCCCTGCCCCAAACCACCCTCCTCACTGTTCCTGATTGACCCGGGTCGCTTCGCCTGCTCCATCCATGGTGCTCGTGGTGTGGCTCGCTCCTCGCTGGCTGCCTCCCGCCCCCCTGGGGGGCTGCTGCTCCATGCCAAGGAGGATTTTAGGGGGCCATCACCTTCCCCTCTGCCCCACAGATCCCATAGCGAAAGACCCGGCGAGGATCGGCCCCTCGGCTGGGCTCGCGGCCAGTAACACGCCCGTCAGCTCCTCCAGTATGTTGGCGGGTGAGTGGGGTTCTCACTGGGGTGGGGGTCCACTGGGGTGGGTTGGGGGTCCCAGGAGG